GGGAGAGAGACTTTGCTGGGGTTAGGTAAAACAATGACAAATTGGAATATGGAGGATTCCTTAATCGAAGACATCACACTCTCAGGAAATCATACTACACATTACAGTACACCTCTGCATTTAATCGTGGCTCCTGTTGACTTCCATTTGGCCCTGAAGAGAAATAAAACCCCATATCTACACTTTAATACAGTCCCCTCAGTGACTAGAGGTTTTGCTCTGACATTCACCGTCATGTTTTAAGGGTTGGAATAGTATGACTCTGCAAGGTTATTCTCTTTCTAAACACAAAACCATGCCCAAGATTGTGACGACAACAACAAAATCCTATAACCAAGTAAATATGTCACTTTCTGTACGTACATGTCAAGCTGTATACCATGCAGGTCATCAATCCCAAGGGAGCAGAACGCCATGCACCACTTACCAGTCCTGGGGAGGAGGCCCGTTGCATCTTGGTATTGGAGTCACCAAGGAAAACACAATAGTCAAGCACTGGACGGAACAACACTTTACCTACATAAAGAAGAGACAGAGGAAGATCAGCTTCAATAGTGGGCATTGGTCCCCCGTGGCCAGCAGTCTCTCCTGACAGCTAGCTCAGGGCGATTGGCCTATGTTCACAACTGTCTTACCACAGCGAAAGGAACATTGACCACCACCCCCTACCTTGTGGAGTCTGAAATACTGAAAACTGGGGGTGTGCCTGAGGGCCATTGACATACAGGCTTAAGCAGAACAAAGGAGTTCTCAATGTGCCTGAAACAGGGAAAGATACTCCCACACAAGGTGATAAACCCAGCACAGGCTGTGTGGACTCTCTATCGCTTTGTAAAGAAGTGTTCTAGGCCCAAAGCCCACTCTTATGTGGCCAAGTGGGGGTGGAAAGACTGCATGCAGGAGACTGCCTTTCCCAACAGCACTTTTCCTTTATTTGTAGTTTTCTAGAAGTTTCATTTTTCTCTCCTCTGATTTAGAAGTGATTCTGCATCTCTCTCTTAATGACTCCCTTCCAGTGTTAAAGACAATTGTGACAACAGAACTATACGGAGGAGAGCATCAGCTTCAAGTCAGACAGAGTCAGGTTTAAATCCTAGATCCATGGAACAGCTTCTGATGTTAGGCATTTCCAACCTTTGAACTGGGATTATTGCAAGGAATAAAAGTGATTACACATGTGAAGGTGTGTGGTACTAAGAATATGATACCAATAAATAAATGTTGCTTTCCTTCCTGTATAAACTTTTCCAAAGGCTCAAGAAAATTTTATAATCAGGATAAGACTTTGAATATGGCTATTTCATTCCAATGGAGAGGATGGCACCTGCAGGCCCTGTTGACAACGCTCAGAAATGCCTCTTAGTATCCTCTCTGCATCATCTGAATGACTTCCACTGCCCATCAGCTGTTCTCCCCAGGTTCTGTTCCTTTCATGTCCAATCTATCCTCCATTTTGCTACTAAATTAATATTTTTAAATGATACTTTCATGTGTCACCTGACCAAGACATTCAGTGTTCTTTATTTTACATAATCATAGAATGAAAGAACTGAGAGGAATCATAAAGATCATATGGTCCAAGGAAGGCAAGTGCCAGTTCTGTTCAGCTGGTGGTAGCTCCTTGTAGTGACCATGTTGCAAAGGATTCTGAGACTCAGCAGTCTTATCAGCTCTGCAGTTGATTAGTGATGTCTGCCTCAGGTATAGAAAGATAGATGACAGCACATACACCATATATTTCCTAGTCTTAATCAAGTCGTATTCCTTTAGCTGATTCTTGTGATATATCTTCATAGTCTAAGTAATATACTAATAATGCTACTCCTTGATTTTTCAGTTTTAGACCTGATTATTTTTACTTCTCACTATAAAAGGTGAGGATTAAGCTTTCTTTATACCCCTGTTTAACACACACATTTCTTGTCCCTCCACACAATAAATAGCCTCATGACATAATTTTAACAATTTTGAAATTTCATATTTACATTATTATGAATAAAGGTTATTCACACCTGAGTCATATTAGATAATTACTTACAAAATTTTGTGTTCCCCCAAATTTATAAACATTCTGTTTTTTTTATTTGTAGTTTTCTGTATACTTATAATTAGTTTGACACCAAACTGTCCTCTAATTGTATAAATTTTCTCTCAGCATGTTAAAACATATTTGGTAGTCTATTCATTTAACCTTCTTGAAGAAATCACTTGAGACTTTTCGGTAACCTCCAGCCAAAGTCCAGTAGGAACATATCCGTGGTTGAATGAGTTGAGTTTATTACTCATTGCAGCAAGGGAAAACACTCACCAGGGGGAACAGTAGAGTATCTCAGTACTGGGTATTAGAAAGGCCTTACAGGATTTGGGCTTGTGTTATATGTTTTGGGGGATGGTTTAAGAAAATGGGACTCTGCCCTAGATTTGAATATTGTCAGAAAGTGAGGTTAATTCTATGATTGAGTATCTTAATAAATCTTAAGAGAAAAGACTAGATTAAAGCTAAAGCTGTAGTTGGTAAGGAAGACTGTGAGATGGGAATACGTGATATTTTGTGGCTTGGAAAATGTTCATGTTTTTGTCTGTGACCAAAGACAAATACAGAGTGGTCTTGTTTTTTTCTATGATCATAGAATCGTCTTGTCTGACGGTGATTTTCTGTGAAATTGTTTGTGTTCAGTAGGAGAACACCAAGGCCCAGCTGTGAGTGCCAACTCCCAGATCTCAGAAGCTGCTTTTCCCTTCTCAGCCTTCTGATCTGTAACAAACTGGTCTCACTTCTCTACATGTACACTCCCCAGCTTAGGAGCCTTACTCCATCATCTTGGTGACTCCTTTTACCTCTCTCCTATGTTGGATCCCCTATTTCATGTGTCTCTTCTATTTCTCTTTTGGCTTATTCTCTTTTTGTGGGAGGAGCATGTCTTCCAGTAGCTTCCTAAGAAAGGTGAATGGAAAGTAGTTTGTTAAGACCTGTGTGTCAGAAAGTGCATGTCAGAACATATTTTATCCTCACTCTAGTTCATAGATAATTAATACTTTAAGTGGATATGACATTTTAATTGGAAATTATTTTTCCTCATAATGAAAGCATTGATCAATTTGTCTTTTATCGTCTAAAGTCACTACTAAGAAACTTGGTGTCAATTCTGATACTTGATCCTTTGTTTGAAACCAGTTGTTTTTTTTTGTTTTTTTTTCCATGCTGGAAACTTGTAGGATTTTTTACTTGCCTCTAAAATTTTAAAATTTCACAATGAAGTTCCCACTTGTGGGGCTTCTACTTTTAGCCATCGTGCTGGACACTTAGTGGGCTCTCTGTATATGGAAACTCATGTCTTTCAATTCTGAGACTTTGTCTTAAATAATTTCTCCAATTTTGTCCACTTTTATTTTATTGTTCTCTTTCTGGGACCCCTATTACCCAGATGTTAGACCTTCTAAAAGAGTCTTTTAACATTCTTGTCATTTTTTTTCTCTTATTTTTCATTCTTTTGTTTTTTGGACTTGTTACAAGGGAGATTTCCTCAACTTTTTCTTCCAGTCATTCTATTTAATCTTACATTCTGCTATCATATTTTAAATTTCCATGATCTCTTTTTCTCCTGTTTATTTCTTATAGTATTCTTATTCTTACTTCATATCTTCTCTTATCTCACTGAGAATGTTAATGATAGTTTTTTATCTTTTTCTTCTTTCTGCAAATTACAACTTTCTTCAGATTACATCTTCCTGGTTTTTTGTTCGTTTTGGTGTCCTTGTTTGTTCTTTTCTCTTTCTTACTAGAAACTTTTCTCAAATATCTGGTAATCCTTATCTATCTGCTTATATTTAAGAGTGGGATACTGTAAAGCTAACTGGATGCTGTTTCTGATGATGAGGTTTGCCACTATAGACTGATCTGACTGGACACAAATATATCAGGAATGGCTCTTCACCAAAGAGGAAACTGTGGTAGAATGCTCACAAGTTGTTCATATTTTAATAAAGAAGTGCTATTTATATTAGAATACTAATGAGCTATTAAGCTCATAAAATAACACTCATATAATGTAGAACTAACAGAAATGAAAATATATTAAAATGCTTTTCCTTCAGTGCTTTCAAGAAAAGTCTATGTTTTTGTCCTACTTCAGTTTCAGGGACAGACTAATTTCCTCTTTGAACTTATGACTTATAATTAGCCCAGCCATAGTCCTACGCTGGCTGGCAGTACTTGAAAACAGTGGGTCAGGCCAGTCACTCCCAGCCTGAATGAACATTTCAAACTTGCATGCAATCCGAAAACAAAAAGATAAAAAAAGATAAGCATGAGGGGCTCAGCCTATTCTTCAAAATTTGTTTCCCCCTAGGGACAGTTGTTTGATTCTCTTAGGCCTTTGACTGTAGAGACTCTCCCAGAATTCTGAGCCACAAACCTCATGAAAATTTGAAATATTTTAGAAAAACATCAGAGCCTTAAAGAAAGGTTCACTGATATAAAATAATTGGGATGTTTACTACAGAATATGTCTAATTTCTTAACTTTATGAAAGTTACTGATGTTTATTCATATATTAAAAATGTCAGGAAGAACAGACACCAATCTATTAATGCTGCCTCCTGGTAACATCTGAAGTAGAGGTGGGGAGCAGAAGATGTTTAATTTCTTACTTTACTTACTGTTTTATTTATTTATTTTTGGTTACAATGAACACACATTAATTTTTTTTTAAATATGAAATGCTACTCTATAAAAATCAAAACAAAGAACTAAAATAAATAAGCTTACAAAACCTGATATATGCAGTTTGGGGCTCAAAAACAATGGTAAATTTTACCTCAATATTAGAACATAATTAGAACTTTTATACTTGATCAGTTTTTTCCCTTTCCCATTAACGGAAGCTTCAGTCTAACTCCAGCCCATTTTCCAGATTACCTTAGAAAGATTTCCTTTCAAAACGTATATCAATTAGGTTTACAATTTGGCTGCAAGAAGTAACAAACTCAATTACAGTAGCTGAAGTAAATAGAGGGTTGTTTTATTCACATAATAAAAAATCCAGAGATAGGCACACACCAGGTAGTTTCACATAATGAAAAGTCCAGGATCCTCTTAGCTTTTTCTTCTGTCATCTTTAACATGTATATATTTTTTCTCCAAGGTCACAAAATGGCCATTCTGCCTTTGGGCATAAAATCACACAGAAGTGGGGAAGGGCAGAGAGCAAGATGCATATGGCAGATGACTTGGAGGACTCTGTCTTTTTAACAGGAAAACAGTCACTTTCCCAGGAGCCCTATCCAGGAGATTTCCACTTACATTTTATTGGCCTGTCCTGGCTCACCTCGTCACCCCCAAGTGCAAAGGAGTTTGAAGATTTTTTGATACATTGCAGCTCTGAACAAACTTGGGGTTCTGTTAGTAAGGTCAGTGTGGAGCGTAGATATTAGCTAGGCAGCCAGCAGGCTCTCTGCTACCAATGGCTTACCTTGTTACCTCTTCCACAAACCAAGCATACTTAATTCCTTCCTGAAACTAGAGGGGTGGGTTTGTGGAGAGTTGAGAAATGTGTCAGAGAAGCAGTTAGCCAGAGTTCAAAAATTAGTATCATTCACTGCAGTATTGTTTGTAATTTGAAACACTGGAAGAAACCTGAATGTCTGAGACCTGAATCCAGGAAAATTTGTCAGGAGCCTTTAGTTGACAGAGTAGTTGATGAGTGTGCTCTCATCATATCTTCTGTAGAAAGCTTATAAGCTCCTCTAGTCCCCATTAGTATACATGTATAGATTTGCCTACACTTGGGAGCAAAATCATTTGGAGTAGCCCACTCCTGGACACCAATGGCAGAGAAATAGTCAGACACCAAGATGCTTGCTGGACTCCAATCTGTCCAGGAAGAATTAACTCTACTTTCCAGAAGGAGAAATCAAAGTCTTCCTCGCTGGCTTCTTAACTTTTCCATGAAATCTTTCCTGATTATTCAATTCTACGTTGAGCTCTCCATTTTCTGACCTGCTGTAGCAATTATCTGCTCATCAGAATCACAAGTTCTATATATTGTTACATGGATTTCACAAGACCATGTCTCATCTTCCTAAGTCCAGTGCATGCTTCTCAGCAGCTAGCTCTCCACGCTAGGAGAGGCCATGGAAAGCAGGATGTCGTTGGGCATCTGTGGGTACAAAAGATGCTACTGCCAATGCACAGGTTCCTGATTGTGGGACATCCAAAACACACTTCAGCTACTTTAAAAGAGTAGCGTAAACTTCAGAGGGATCCTGTTTAGTGACCCTCAAATCACTAAAGAGTATGATCTGCCCTTCCTGGGACAAATTTTAGTCAATATTCAATCCTGGTGCCTAGAAGTGTGTGCTGTCACAGTAGGAAATGAACCACATCAGATTGCTTTTGGTGTGAAGATCCAACTCTAAGTCTGCTCTGAGTCAAGTATGCACTCAGCACCCCAAGATAACCCTTCCTGTAACCCTGGATGGTACTCCTTCCCCATCAGTTGCTGCGTGTCCTCTTCTCTCTGCTCTCTTCTCCACCATAAAGAATCTGATAAGCTCATTCCTAATAAGACAGCAAAGACTGATAGAATAAGATGTTGCCCTCTCTTCAAAGTACTTCAACAGAGGACAAAAGCACAAGCCAGTACAACTGAAATACAATGGTGGAGTTTCAAGTATCAACAAAAAAGTTAAGAGGTTTTTCTTTTGTGTAAGAACTTTCCAGGTACTCAAACTACTACATAAGAGTAGCCAACTATTCTGTTATTAATAGTTCCAACTATTCTGTTAATAGTTCCTATTAATAGTTCCTAATTTGAAATCTATAGTGTTTCATAAATGAATTCAGATTTTATAAGTATGATAAATATCATTTGAATATGCATGTTTCCAAAGAGCTGAGTCATGAGTTAGAGAGGCAGTAAAATACAGTGTTAGGACCATGGGATCTAACTGCCTGGGTTCGCACATACGTCACTGAGGCAAGGTGCTTAAATGTCTTTGTTCCTCATTCTCATCTGTACAATTGGAGATAATATAACCTACCTCATGGGGTTATGTGAGGATTAAATAAGACCATATATATAAGCACTTAGAACTTTGCCTAACACATAGTCGTACTCTATAAATGTTAGCAACTGTTACTAGTAAGAGTTTTTATTTCCAAATGAATGAGAAATAGAATATTTGCAGCTGGTGAATTATAGATTTTTGACAAGTCTTCATATTTTAGTTTACCGTGACTTTATAAAGAATATTCAGCATAATAGGCAATTCCTTTAAGAGTAAGAATCATAACTTCCCTACCATTTGCAAAAGGTCGTGACAGGGTTGACTACATGACACTGAAGGTTTCTTTCAATAGGTATAAATACCTATTTTCAACTCTGATTTCCAGATTGAAGCTATCCCTAAAGATGATTCTACATTAACTGAGAGAAGGCGAGAGCTCCATAAGGAAGTTGAAGTGGCTAAGAGGAATTTGACCCAGCAGGTTAGTATCAACTTTCACGTAAGCTTCTATCTAAGAATGATTAAAGCAAACTTGTGTTTTTAACTGTGTTCCATGAAACCTCATTAATAGGAGAGTCATCAAAGAGAATATGATCCTACTTAATGTGGGTCTGTTTCTTTCTCTCAAAGTCCACGCCAAACCCATATTAAAATTTGGAGGAAAAAAAAAAAAAGAATGTGTTTTAACCAGCAAAAATTATACAGATTCATGAGATTTTAAAGTAAAAAGCCTACTGGTTAAAAATGAACAATAAATGTTTTATTTCAGTCACATCTAATTTCAAATTTTGCTTATTCAAGCCACTGTCAAAGTGTTTTAAAACATGCTTTTAAAAAATAAATAAATAAACCAAAAAAAACACGCTTTTATTTCTCTTCAAAAAATTACTTGAAAATACAGTCTGAATAAGAAAAAGTTCTGCGTTAAACATGTTATCATGTTTGCACATTTTTTTAATAAGATAAAGAAAGTACTTGGTGCTAAGGCAGCAGAGTTACTTTTTGTGTTTTAACAAAATAATCTCTACATAGAAAATTTAAAAAGTAGTCTGAGATACTGGCCTTAGTGTATTCTTTCAAATAATGCATTATAATATTTGTGTTTTTTCAAAAGAAAATCCTGTCAGAAGCTGAGTCTAAGTTACTAGAACAGCAACTTGCTGAAGAAAACAAGCTTTTAAAGGAGCAAGAAAACATGCGAGAGCTGGTATTCAACCTTGTCCGTATGACTCAAATCAAAATTGACGAGAAAGAGCAAAAATCCAAGGATTTCCTGAAAGCTCAGGTAACTGCATTTTTGTAACCATCCACTAATTACCACAGGAGTCCAGGGTAGCCTCCTTTTAATACAATGTTCATCAGAAAACTATGATTTTAAGTCTCCTTCAAGTTCAGTGACTATACAGCTTCCCTAAACAAAACCCAATCACGCACTGAAAAATATTCCAAGGATTCAACAGGCAACAACTAACAATCTAGAGGGGAAAAGAACTAGGTCAATGACAACAAGCAGAGGATTTGAACAGATGACAATTTCAGTAAGAATAAGGTGGATGCCTTCAGGGAACACAGCTGACAGGCGCACAGGCGCAGGTGTCTGTGATTCACCACCATCTCATAGTCCATTGTGATTTGCCCAGAACAACTCAGAAGCCACAGCATTAGACCACTCTCTTTCCCAAGTTCATCAAGCCAACATCATTTAAACCAATCCTAGGACAATTACCCTTAGTAACTGCTTCACCCCATGACTTTCCTGGGCTCCTGACAAGGTACCAGAGCTGACCCAGTGCAACATCCCCAAACAAAACCAACAAGGAAACCAATAGCAAAAACAACCCTCCTATCATGCTAGCTAAAACTCTAATATTAGAATCATTTATTCCACATAAGGATTGTGTCCAGAAGTCCCCTGTTAAAAATGAATACGATATGACATGTTACTAAAATAGAATACCTGAATTTACCATGTGACCCAGATGTTGGCTCTTTCTGACTGCAGCTTTGTCTAATTCTGAGCAAGCATTCACACAGGGTAGCATTTCTTCTTGTTTTCCAGAAAGAACTCACACATCAAAGCATTCGTGAGCCATGAGGTTAAATACAGATGAGAGAAAACTGGGGTGAAGATCTACATCACACAACCCACAGCAAACTATTCAAATTGCCCTTTAACTGTTTATTTCCCACCCACCCACCCACCCAAAACATTTGACAGAGAGAAACTAAAAGAAGTTTAGCATGGCTGGGGCATGGGAAAATGGGGAAAAGGGTGTCAAACAGTGAGACCAGAGAGCAGGAAAGGTCAGGTGGTGAAGGTCACTTAATCCCTATTGAGCAGTTTGGACCCTGGTCCCAGAAGCTGAGGCAAAGCCCAGAAGAGTTCATGGGGTAGTTGCGTTTCAGTAAAGAAAGGAAAGGCAGTGGACAGGGAGGAACGGGGGAAAGAAGGCTGCCTGAGGGGAGAACGAACAGGAGCAAAAGGAGGAGAGGAGAGGACAGAGGGATACTTACTACGAGGAACATGGATCTGTTTTATGAACTAGACCATCTTTTAATTAACCTCAAAAACTGATACATGTGTTATCTATGTGTGACTAATCTATGCCAGCCAAATCTCATTACTAAATGAGCTAATTCAATTCTCTAATTTCTCTCAAAGAAGATCAATTTCTCTTGAAATATGGAAATCAATAAAGGAAAAATATTGTTTTCCTTAAGTATTCTTAGCATTGGGAATTAGTCTGTTAAAGATCGGCTGTAATAAACTATAATTTCCTTAAGACAAGAGTCAATCTTATTTATTTTCACCTCTCATCCATATCCCTAAGATAAAAGGTGAAGGGGAAAAAAAGTCAATGTTACTACTACCTCCAAGATGGAGGGGATGACACTACATTTTTTACCTCTTTAATTCTTCATACACGCAGTTACTTAAATAATATTAGTTTCTTCCTGACTCCCGTTCTCACTGAGAACAACATAAAATTGCTACATGTCAATCTTGGCTCTGATGCCTAGTTTCTTTTGAATACCCATATGGGTTTTGCTCTCGCGGTCCTTAAGAGAAGGCCAGCAGAAACTATTTCCTCTGGTTTCTACTAGCAAAATACTGTACTTCTTTGAATACGTTTCTCACCCTAGATAAAGGGCCCAGCATCTTTGTATTTGAAGAACGTAACTAGCGCATTTAACATTTGGTATATGTTGAGCACTTTGGAGATATAACTGCCGTCTTTTAAAATATTCATGTGTAATCTGTTTTTCAGCTCCCTATGGGGTTAGGCTCAGCATGGCGCTTCGTTGTGCAGGAAAACACACCCACCGTACAAACAAATGGAAAAGCACTTTAAAAGCATGGCTTCAGTCTCACAAAATATCACAGAGCCTTCAACTCGTAACATTTATCAAAACTGACTCCAAGTCCCCTTCTCTCATCCATCTTCCACAAATTCCTCACTCACCCACCCCGGCTGTGCTGTCCACAATCATTCCTCCGCTCTTCAAAAGTTTCCCGAACTTTTCCTCAAACCAACCTGGGCAGTCTCCTTTCTTTTCCTCCTCTCTCGATCTTTCTCTCCTTTAATTAACCTTCTGTCCTAGCCAATGTGATTCAGTTCAGCTGGCCAGTCAATTTTCATCCCCCTCCCCCTTTCCTCTTCCCCGTGATCTGCACGACCCAGCTGATGAAGATAGAATTGTCCTTAATGGACAGTAATGAGATGGGTTGAGGCTGGGAGTATCCATATGCTGTTGGTGGTAGACTATTTTTAAAATCTCACTATTAATTTCTATATTTCAGCAAAAATATGCCAACATTGCTAGGGAGATCAAAGCAAAGGATCTTGAAATCCGGATACACAGGAAGCAAAAACGAGAAATTCATCGGAGGTAAAAGAATTACATGAGGACTTATCTAGTTGGCTGGGGGAAGAAAAACCTATTTATTTCACAAATTTCAAAAACACTTGTATTTTCACAGACTCAGAGAGTTTGCTAAACTGTATGACACTATTCGAAATGAAAGAAACAAATTTATTAACCTACTTCACAAAGCTCACCAGAAAGTCAATGAAATAAAAGAAAGGCATAAAATGTCATTAAATGAACTGGAAATTTTAAGAAATAGTGCAGTTACTCAAGACAGGTAAGTGTTCTGATAACTACTGTCCTTTCAAAGGTTTCTCTTCGGAGTCATTAAGTGATAAAATACCCTGGGGGATGATGAAATAGAAAATAAGTCTTTTACAAAACTTAGAAAAGCCCTTGCTCACACACCCCACTTTACAGCTGACAAGCATCTGAATGTGATTCCTTATGCTTCTGTTTGGGAGCCATATTTAAGTGGATGGAAAACTATACTCTGTAACTATGCTCACTTCATTTTCATTTACTCATCTACAAATAAAAGCACAAATTTGACAGTTTGCATTTAATGTTAGAAGACACTCAAATGTTCATAAACCAGCATCCCATGATTGTAGGTGTGAAGCATCTAATGAGCTTATGTGAGGCAGTATGGCGGGGTGGTTAAGAGAAGGGGCTTTCTAG